AGTTTCTCCCGTGCAGGGTCAAAACAAGTTTAACACGTGCAGTCCTTAAAAAGGAACAAATGTTGTCTTTCAAAAAGCCAGTGGGCCATGGCTGGCTTCCCACATGCTGTCACAATAGACAATGTGGGCAGCAATGTGCAGAACTAAGTCAATTAGTATTAGCTAACCAACAGCAAACCCCTGAGATTCAGGCTGAATTCTGCTTCAAGGCCCAAGTTGAGACCCCTGACCTCCTGCGGGGTTAAACTCTGCAAGGTTCTACGGCAGGTTCCAGCAGGTTCTGAAGATAGTCCAGATTCTAATAGAAGGTGTTGATCCCTTCCATTTACCAACTACAGAGATCTGGTATGCCTTTATTACAGTTGTTTACTCCTGTTCTATCTTCTGGAGCTCAGTACAATGGCCTTATGACCACCTGTGCCTCTGCAGTGTGGACCCAGGTACTGGCAAAACTAGAAGGCCCGAGAACAGGGCTGAGGTGGGAGTGGGGGTGGGAGGAATGCTGTAGGGGTGCCCGTGCAGCTGGGTAGTCCTCAGTGGTCTGCTCTGACCAGAGATGATTTGATTTCACAGGCAGGTGGAGGCCAGGTGAGCTTTGTAGAGGCCATGGAGAGCTGTGGGAGGTTTTCAACAAAGGGCCCATCTGATCAGATTTGTCCCAGGTGGAATGCAGCTGTGCCGGGCTGTTAGCCAGATGTGTCCCCAGCAGTGCCAGACATTGAGCTAATGTTTGCTGACTAGTGTCACCTGAAGGATGGTACTCATGATCTCTGAGTGGTATGAAGGCTGGCTTCCAGGGGCAGAGCCAGTGGGTCCTACAGCATAGGTAGTCAGGCTCATCTGTTTTCTGTGCTGGCTGGAACACCCTGAATGGCCATCTCCCAACTGCTCTCCTTGCTGGTCCTGTACCCAACCTGTTCATGTTGTCCTGGAAGGGACCCTCAGGGGCTCTCATTAGATACCTGACTTTCTCTTGAGTGTCTTCCCAGCCCAGCCTGGCCCCTCTGCCTGGCAGCCTTTGATTGTGGCCAGTCATTGCTGTATCCCTGACATTCCTCAGAGCTCAACTATGGGCAGGCAAGGCTGGCCTAGATGCTGGCCTCCTGCAGTCAGCCACAAAGCTGTCCCAAGGGTATCTAGGCTCAACTTGGGCTGGGCTCCATGCCATGACCTCCTAAGCAGGCTCCTATGTCCACAGTCCATGCTGTTTGGGTTACCACAGGTATCTAGTTTAGAAAATTCCCAAAGCATGCAAGCTGCTTCCTCAAAAAGACTTCCCAGTACCCTAAGAGGCATTGTTATCACAAGGGGTACTGACTTCCAAAAAGGTGAGCTCTTTTCCCCTTCCACCAGGGCACACTTTCAGAAACCCAGAGTCTGAGGCTCAGCCCCTTCTCTGGTGACTTGGGCCACCCCCAGGAGGAGGACTTCATGGAGCCAGGAAACTGCTAAAGGTGGCGGCTGAAGAGGCAGAGTCCTTAGCTAGTGGTATATTCTGGGAGCTCCCTGGGAGGCAGCTCCCCACAACTTTGGTCCAAAGGGCCAGGAATGGGCCTCAGCGTTTTCAAGCTGCAGAAATTTATTTTGAATTCTTTGTAAGGCTCCCAAAACCACACAAGCTTTGGGGTCCACCCAAATGTCAAACAATCTAAGTGGGACCAGATGCTCACCATACTGGCCACAGAGATCCCAGGAATGGCCACCCGCTCTGTCCTCTGGCCTCTGTACGTCTCTCTTCCACTCCCCTCTGGTTTCAGTGAGCACTCGTGGATGCATTCTGCTTATTGTACCAGGGCTAAGGAGTTAGGCACCAGAGGTTGTCTCTAGGAGGGCCCCTTCTAGGGAGTCACCCTAGTCTAGAAATTGGAGTCTGTAGATGGTGAGCTAGGGCTGGGGAAAACGCTGTTGCTGCTGGTGCCCACCAGACACCTGAGGGGGAGATTCGGACCAAATGTCATTGTCTCATGTGGTGGAGCCAGCACGGAGTCGCTGAGGGAAGGTCTCTGTCCCCAGTCAGTATTTTCCACTAGCCTTCCTTCATGGAACGTGCGCTTGTACTGAGAGTTTGTCACCCCAAGGGCCCCTCCTAAACAGACCTTGGAACACTGTTCCTTTAGATCCCCTCTCAGCCCTCAGCCTGCTCCCACACCAGCATGATAAAGACTGTTGCTACCGCTAGAGCACATTTGTTGGCAGGCAGCACATCTGTGTATCCTTAAGACTGCACATATGTCCAGCTTCTCTGGTAGGGCCAGAGCGCAGTACTTGTTTTTTGTTTTTTGTTTTTTGTTTTTCTGAGAGGCAGAGCAGAGTTGTAGTCTTGCTTAGAGTTGGAATAACTCAGGTTTTAATCAGGTTCTGGGGTTAACTGTTGTATAGCTTTGACAAGTGACTGAATCTCTCCGAACTTGCTTATCACCTTTAGGGTCCCTGTTTGCATCAGGTGCTAAACATTTCTGTCCTGTTTAGTCATCACAACCACCCAGTTAGGCACTGTCATTTCCATTGTAGAGATGACAGGGTGAGGTTTCCAGGTGCACAGTGAGGCTCAGCTTAGATCTGCATGATCCCATAGTGCCTGTTCCTGGGCCAAGTGGTCTCTCTGTGGAGCTGGGATTACTTTCTCTAGCCTGGCGGTGTTCTCCCAGGATCCACCTAAAGGGGGCAGAACTGTCAGGGGGCTCTGAATAGTCTTGGCTCTGAGGATCCTTGTGTTGACCTGGTTCTGGTGACCCCCACAGGAGGAATGTCTGCGGGGGACAGTGCTGCCCGGGATGGACGACAGCAAACAGTACCAATCATTGTATCAAACGTGAGTGTCTCCTGGCCCATCTTCCCATGTTTCTCTTGAGCTGGGCTGGGCTGAGGATACTAGGACCTAGAACAGAAAGGTCTTCCCCAGCCTGCCTCCTGAGATGCAGCCTATCTCCATGTGGAGGCGATGTGCAGTGGAAGAGAGGAAATTTTAAAATGCTTCCAGCTGGATACAGCTTTCTCAAAGCAAATCTCTGCTCATGTTTTTAAAGCTTGCTGCGTTCCCTCCTGCTGTCCCCCTGTATTAGTCCCACTTGCCCTGCTCTCAGGGTCCTGTGTGGGCCCACACATGCTTATGGCCTGCACACTAGCCCCAGAGCCTGGCCGTTTTACATCTCCAAGGCCACCATTCGTGTTGTGTTCTTGTAGGGCTCCCCCTCTGCGCTGGCCCCTGGCCTCTGTTACACACTTCCCGAAGATGAGCAGCTCAGGCTCTGATGCTAAGTCTGGAGCAGGCTTCCTTTGGACTGTCCCAAAGCTTGAAAGATTGGCTCAAATGAGAAGAAAGAGAGTGGTTCTCTTAGGTGGAGACCAAGAGTGAGGTGGGAAGAGCCGTGACCTCCATGCCTGAGCCTTTTGCTGGTGGTAGACAGAGCTCAAACATCCCATGAATGGTGGCAGAGGCAGTGACAATGACAGGAGCCAGTGCCTGTGTAATACTCATTTTATGCACTTTACATGTTCCCTAGGGCAGGTAGTGCCCCTGTCTGCTTGGTGGATGAGGAAACTAAGGCACAGAGAGGTAACTTGCTCAAGGTCTCATGGCCAGGTAAGGGCAGAACTAGAATTTGAGCTCCAGGATCCCCCCTATTAATATCTGTGCCCTGCTGCCAGACATCTTGCCTTTTCTCTCTGGACCCTTCTTTCTTCATCTGTGCACTGGGGACGGCAGTGTCCTGCTGCTGCTACTAGCTGACAGCTGAGTGTTTGCTGTTACCCAGTACTGCAGGCTCTTCACATGTGCTGCCTGAATTAAGCCTTTTGGCAGTCCTATGATGTGGGTATTTACCTACCATCCCTGCTTACTGCTGAGGGAACTGGGGCTTTGATTGGTTAGGAAATTGGCCAAGGACACACCAGTATAATACTGGACCCAGACTCCCATACTCTTATTGCCTTCCAATTCTAGCTGAGGCTGGACATTCCCACAGGTGACATCAGCAATGAGGGCTTGACAGCCCAGGGGCCCCCTTGGGTCCATGTCAGCTCCCCAGGCTCTGCTTGATTGTCCTCCTGTAGTCACCACTGGCTCTCCAAGGCCCAATCCTGGCTGCATAGTAGCAGTCTCACCAGCTTTGTCCACAATGACTGTGTCTTCCTTTGTCCAGACTGAGCATCTGGCCCTTCTCACAGAGGGCGTCACAGCTAATAGAGTTCATGGTGCTTTCAGCATGGTAGATGCCTTCTCTAGTGCCTCTCAGGATGGTGATGAGAGGGCTATGTGGCAGGGATGAGACAGGGTGGACCAGGCTCTGGGGTTCTGCCTCAAGCCTTATGGCCATGACCCTTTGCCTGTCCACAGATGTAGCTCAGGCAGATTCTTGGGATGTCCTGAAGACCTCCAGATAAAGAAACCAAATAAAAAATAAACAAGCAAGCAGGTCTCACAGCCTTTCCTTTTTAGGAAAGGATCAATGGGGTCTCCCAGAGGACAGGTCCTCTCTGGCTGTGGGCAGAGTTGGGGAGGAATATATGTTCATCTTTCTTCCTCTTCCTCTGCTTCTTTCTCCTCCTCCTCTTCTTCCCCTTCCTCCTCCTCTTCCTCTTCCTCCTCTTCCTCTTCCTCTTCCTCCTCCCCCTCCCCCTCTCCCTGGGCAATGAGTTACATCCCCAGCTCTCCATTTTTATTTTGAGAAAGGGTCTTGCTAAGTTGCCAAGTTTCTTTCTTTTTGCGTTGCCTGGGGTTGAACTCAGGATCTCGTACTTGGAAGGCAGGCACCATGCCACTGAACTAAATACGTGGCCCTAAATTGCTAAATTTCAAAGGCTGGGCTGGAACTTGCTGTTCTCTCTCAGCATTCCAGTGTGCTAGGATTACAGGTATGCAACACCACACCCAGCTTTCTTATGCTTTTAAAGGTGAAGAAAGTGAGCCACAGAGAGGTGGTGACTTACTCAAGGTCATTAAGGGGAAACCTGAGACAAAATCGGGTCTGAACCACTCTGCTGTGCGGAGAAGCTGGGGAAGAGGGTGGCCAGGTGGCTTTATGCTAGGCAGAAGCCCTGAGGCTGGGGCCTGCCACTGGTGTCTTTTTAAAGCACTCTCGTTGGTTCTAGCTGTGGCTGAAGTACAGAGAAGAGTTTGAGGTCCACTGCTGGAAGGTCTGCTTAGGGGTCACTACTCACATCTGAGTGTTCCCAGGAAACCTAGGGATCCTGTGAAAGAGCAGATTCTGATGCAGCTGTTCTGGGGTGGAGCTGGAGATTCTGTGTTTTGAATGAACTCCCATGGGTGGCTCATGCTGCTGGGCTGGGGACCACACTTTGAGAAGCAGGGCCTTGGGGACTCTGGAAGCCTTGGAAGGAGATTTGGAGGGAGGAGGCAGGAGGTTGGTATGTTCTAGAGAGCTCAGCCAGTGTAGGGGCCTCCCTGGCTGTTGGAGAGTGTTGCTGAGATTTGAGTGAATCTGGAGTAGGAGGCTTCATGGAGGATGGGCTTCCTCCCAGCTGCCTGAGGGGTCTAGGCGTGACCACAGCTGCCCACCCGCCAACCCTGGAGGCTCTCAGTTTCCCAACTTGCTCAAGATTTTCCGACATCCCTCTCTGCCAAACTGGAGTTTCATCACTGGAAAGTCAAGGTTGGGTGAGTCTGGAGGTTGTTACAGAACCAGTGTGTGTACACCCTCTTGCCCCAGCAGGGTACTTACTACTCCAGGATGCCTGGACAGTCATTCGCTCCCCCATGTCTTCCCTCCCCAGACCTCTCATGCTGCTGTCCCCTGGCACCACCCGGACTGGGTCATGCAGTCTGGCAGCTCTCCTGGAGGGCATTGTCAGGGTACCAGTCTTTCCTACTTGAAGCCAGCTTGTCCACTGAAGGGCTGTGTGCTAATTAGCTGGTCCCTATGCCATTTGCTAGTTGCTGTTTTGCCGCTAATCAGCCTAATGAGAACCACGTAGGCCATGGGGTGTTGGCCCTGGATGGCTGGGTCAGCGGTCTGTAGAATGTGGGGCTCTTGGCTTCACACCCTGACAGCTGACTCTTGTGCTTTCTCCAGGGACTTCATAACTCCCTCTCTCCTCTCCACAGCTGCCCTTCTGGTCCAGAATGTTCCTGATTTGGTCCTAGCAGTCTCACACATGTAGTGGTTCCTTCCTAGATGGAAGACTCTCCTCTGGCCTCCCAGATGCCTGTGGACCCAACCCACTGCCCAGGTGCAAAGGGCTGGCCCTGGCTTAGTCTTCCCCTAGCCCAGCCCTTTCTCCTCCTCTCAGAGAACCAGTGTAGCTCCCTGGAGGCCTCACTCTCTTCTCTCTGCCCCATCACCGGCCCTCAGGGAGCTGCTGCATCAGCAGGTATCCTTACGGGGTTCCCACCTTCTCCTTCCACTTTGGCAGGGTCTGGAGCTGGGCTATTGCCTCCTCCTCTGGTCTTGGTATCTGCCTTTCTTTCTGTGGCCTTGCCAGCTCTCCTTCGTGATTTATGTGTTTATGCATTTGTAGAAGCAGCTGGCTGGGGCCTGCCCTGCCCACTGAGCTGAGGGGAAGGACTGTAGGGTGTGGGGTGACAGTGTCCTGTTTATAGATGCTGCTTTTGGAAGACTGTCCAGGCTTCCCAGACTGGCTCACCACTATCACCACCCCACTGGGGAAGGGGATGTGAGGATTCCCCAGCCTTTTCATTTTCTCTCAGCCTGAATGCACGGGGGCTGGGATGCTCTGAAGAGGGTGCAGAATAGGGTCCCTGTAGCTGTTGAGGGGGCCTATCTCAGGCTCTCCACCCAAGAAGCTAGGCTCAAGTTAAGAGCATGTGCTTTGGATTCTGGCATGAGATCCAGAGAGATGTATATTTGTATCCCAGCCCATTATCCTTGGGCAAGTGACTGGCTCTCTTTTAGCCGTGGAGCCTCAGCCATAAAATGGGTATGACAGTCCATATAGCGCTGACTTTGAGGATAATGATGCTAGTACCATGTGTCAGGTACTATTCTAAATTTTATATAATTTTTTATCCTTACCATGATGCTATTGCTAGATTGGGTTTTCTCCCCATTTGCTGGTGAGGCTGGCTATTTGTCCAAGCCTTGCAGCAGCAAAGGCTGGATGTGAATCCAGTAGCCAGACTGCAGAGTACAAGACCTTATCTCCATGTGCTTGGCTAAGTGAGCAATGGTGTGCAGCCTTGTATATGGCTGGTTTAACTTGTATTTGAATGCTCGATCTGGGAGATTATGTTGGACTGCTTGGGCTTAAATATCAGCTTCACCATTTAGTGTCTATGTGACTATGGACAAGTTGCTTATGCTCTCTGTGCCTCAGTTTCCTCTTCTGTAACTAACCCTAGTTCCTGCCCCCAAAGTTCTAAGGAACAAATGAGGTAACTTAGGTTAAGTGTTTAGTTCAAAGCCTGGTATGTTCTATATGCTCTTTACATGTTTGGTCTTGACTTTGAGGGCAGGGACTGCCTCACTGTCCCCCCAGCATGCAGTGTGGCAGGTGCAGGGTAAAGGCTGGCCAAGAAGAGACTGAATGTGACCAGGAATAGTGGCACATGCCTGAAATCCTAGCAGTCTGGAAGGCTGATGCAGGAGAGTTGCACATTCAAGCCCATCCTGGGCAACTTAGTAACTCGGTGAGACCCTGTCTCAAAATAAAACATTAAAAGGGGACAGGGGTTGTAGTTGAGTGGGAAGGGCCTGGGTTCAATCCCTAGAACCACTAAACAAACAAACAAACAAACAAAGGACTGACTGATACAGAGCCTATCTGAGAGGTCCCTTCCTGTGAGAAGTCCCTTTTTGCTGCCCAAGGTTTATCAGCCATACTAAAAACTCCCCA